TTATACAAGAGATAAATTTATATGAATATAAGCATTTTAAAATATGATTTGAAATTTAATGTAATTGTAACACATATATAGTGTCCTGAAATTCGCGAATTAAAATACTACATTAAGAAAGTTTTCAAAAATTTATGTAAAAATACTTTTTATAAATTTTTATTTTAAGCAATAGTTTTTGAGATATGTATAAGGGTTTAAATATAATCAATTTATTTTATCATTCAAGATTATACATTTCATAGGGAGCAGTTAGTTTCCAAAAATAGTGAGAAAAGTTTATTCTCGAAAAGTTAGAAAATAGTGATTCGCATAAAAAAAGATGAGTCTTCTTGAGAGTAAAAAATGAGTGCTCCTTGAGAATGTGAATACTAAAAATGAATTTGTATTTAAATTACTTTTAAAAATGCAGTTTTTAAAGACGAATTTTTACTTGATTTTTTGAGAACTTTCTTGCTTTGGTATTTTGATTCATAAATTTCGAGACACCATATATATTTTTGTATATTTCATGATTAGGTTGAAGAAACTGTTATGCCGTATGTTGAAATTCTGGTGAATTTCCGAGAAAAAGTTCGAAATTGTGCGAAAACTTTGAAAGCGAAAGATATTTTACAAGAGTGCGATCAATTGCGCGATGATATTTTGCCTAACATTGGTGTGCGGTTGGAAGATAATAATGAAGGAGAGTGTAAGGTAAAATTAGTCAATAGAGAAGAGTTATTGAAGGAGAAAGAAATTAAGAAGAAACTAGAACTTGAGAAAACCTTAGAGAAGGAAAAAACAAAAGCGGAGGCTGCTGCTACGGCAGTAGTAAAAGAAGCGCAAAAAAGAATATCTCCAAATAATATGTTCAGATTGGAAAAAGACAAATATTCCCAATTTGACGATAAGGTAAACATTTTGCTCATCTTGCATAAAACATTCATTATATCATAAATTTACATTATACTGAGTTTATATTTCCATTTTATATACTTTTTTAAATATTTCTATGCAGGGATTGCCAACACATGATGCCGAAGGTAAAGAAATTAGCAAAAGTTTATTCAAGAAGTTGCAAAAGTTACAGCAAGCTCAGGAAAAAAAATATAATGAATACTTGGCTTCCACGCAAAATGGTTGTTTGTAAGATCCTTACACATAAGGAATTATCTCGACTTATTTATGAAGTTATAGTTTAGTATAGAGCAGTTTCATATTTCGAGATAGCTATATTTTTTGTATTACTTTACCACACAAGAATAATTCTTTTTCTAAAGTATTGAGAAATATCTAAATTGTGACTGTCTATATGACATATCAATATAATTTCAAATATATCTGAATATATATATATCTAATATCTAAATTAATATTAAACTCTAAGCTTTGTTCTGAAAACTTTTACTAAAGATTAAATTTAAATGCCTGATTTCCTATCAATAGCTTTCATTTATGATTAAGTATTTTCAGCCATCAAACTTTTTGAAATCATTTTGTAATCTATTTTATTGTATTATCTTAAATTAATATAGGATAGAGAGAATCCCAGTATTGTAATTTACCATTATTAAGGGAATCCCAAATCCCACGTATTAATGCGTATACTTTGATCCTGGAGAAAGATTTTCGAGAGAGAGAGAGAGAGAGAGAGAGAGAGAGAGAGAGAGAGAGAGAGAAAGAATCTAAAAGAGGAAAAAAGTAATTGTTATACAAAAATTATATGGTTTAGTCGATAATACAGACAGCTTTAGGATTCCCTTAAAGTAAATTAATCTTATAAAACTTTGTGTGTTGTGTAATGCATATTGTAATAAATGTATTGTTTTATCTATTGAATTTCAATAAATACCTATGTATGGCTTTATATATTAAAATCATGAAATCACTAAATATGATGTAATGTATAATATATAATGTGTGAAAAGAATGCTTTATCGCGAAACTACCAACAGCATATTCATACTTGATGTACATACATACGCGTATATGTACATACATCGGCATATCGTATGGTTGATGCGATTCAAAACTGGTCGAACAAAATAAATGTTACGCGTTTTCACTCGACCGGATGAATTTGACACGCGATGCTGTCCATTATTAAAACATAATACCCCTTTCACACATAACGAGTGGGCCGACAGTGACAGCTTTGTAAATGCGAAGGCGATATAATGCTCGATTCGCGAAGCGAGCCAATATTCATCCTATATTCAAAAGCAGTGGAAACCCGAGGTAGACGAACAGGTCGACCCGTCAGTCGCTTTTCCAACTTCCTGTAAAATACGCATCATATCCGATAACAACGATGTCCAGTCCGAAAACTCTTTGGAATAATCGAGGAAAATGGCCGACCTGCCTCACTCTCGATTACAATTTCCGGATTGGAACGAAGCTGGCATTTAAACTCCTCGTGGCAACGTTTTCGTTCTTAATCGAGAAAGTTTAATGAGATACATCTCATGTCAGGGACTACGTTTACATGGCTCGATTTACGCTGAAGTTATAATATCGCGCGATATACGTTATGAAACTTGCCAATCACAGTCATTCCATTCTTCAGAAGAATAGCTATGATTGGCCAGTTTTATAACATCGATGTTGTAACTTCGGTGTAAATCGAGCCGTGTAAACGAAGACTACGTTTACACATTTGTGTCATTAACTACGTTTACACGAACATTCTTAATCGGGTTTAATCCATAGTTAGAAACTGCGTTATAATATCGCGCGTTAAACTGGCCAATCACAATCATTCCATTCTTCAGAGAAATAGTTATGATTATTGGCCATCAGTTTCATGACTATGGATGTTATAAATCTGATTAGGATGTCCGTGTAAACGCAATCATCGGCAAGGTCGTGTTAAGAAAATTTACGCCCAAGGGCGTGTGATCTTCGAATGCCTCTTGTTTCGCCTTAATAACGGCAGCATTTCTAATGACCTTTTTTTTCTAATAGTAGTTTCATTATCCGTACTTACATTACCTCTATTTTCATTACCAACTTTGCATATTTTATGTTTAATACAAAAGTATCTGTACTTGTAAACTTAATATGAGAAGCGTCACTTACGGTATTTAGATGTTGAAATAATACATATGTATCTTTTAAATGATCTTGAAGTAACGCTTTGCATTCGTTTCTTTTCAAGAATAGGAACCCAGTCTAATGCAGGAATGAAAAATACCTACGATTAGTTCTCATATATGCCATTCAACTTTTCTTGCGTACCATGAGAAATTAAATTTTGCGTAACAGAAAACGCGTAGAAAAGGCGTAATAATTCGAAAAACGCATATTGGGCCATGATTATAATATAGTTCCCAAACAGTACAGAATATTTATGATAAATATTTATTAATATTCATTTTTTGAAATGTTATATAGATATTTCATACATATTTTATGTAAAGCTTTATTCGAAATATTATTAAAACATAGACTAAATATGTTATGTAGTATTTATGATAAATATAAATAAATATTTCTAATAAGTATTTTTTACTTGGATTATAATGTCTCGTTAAGTACGAGGGTCGTCTGAAAAGTTTTGAGCCTAACATAGAAACAAGTAATTTTTCGGTCAAATTCAATTTTATTTTTCCACATAGTCTCCTTTTAAGTCGATACATTTTTTCCAGCGATGCTCCCACCCCTTTAATCCATTCAAATAATACTGAGCGTCTTGTTTTGCAAAATAGGCGTCTACGGATGCGATGACCT